CAAAAGTGAGAAGCATTTCTAGACTCTATTTTGTTCCACTGATCTAGTTATTTTTGGACTAATATTGCTCTACTTTGTTAACTTTAACTTGGGAAAAATTTTCATATCTGCTGGGGCTGGTTCCTACTCATTTTCTTTTCTGAATTTTCCTGGTTATTCACCCAAGTTTAATTTGCAAAAAACTTTGGAAACATTTTGTCAAGTTTCTAAAAAGTGCTATTAAAATTTTGGTAGACATTACTTTGAATTTCTAGAGTATGGAGAGAGAATATTTACAAGAGTTTGACCAAGAATCCTTTGAGTTTTCCTCTCTATCCTCTAGAATTTATAGTTTTCTTTTTAAAGGTTCTATACATTTCTTATAAATTGGGTCAGTTACATTTCACTGGTTTTTTGTTTTGTTTTGTTAATTAGCAGTAATAGTAATATTCCTACAGTGAATAGGACTTTATAATCTTATTTTTGACTGGAAATTTCTAATTTGTGCATATTTTTATATACTTATTATGCAGTGAGCCACCTTTCTCAATTCATTAATAGTTTTTTTTTTTTCATTTGTTCTCTTGCATTTTCCAGGTTTTGGATCATATAACTGTAGATAATGATTCTTGTCCATGGTCCCTTTCAATATCTAATTCTTTGAAATTGAAAAATTTTAAAGGATATGCCTTATTACTAGTAGTTTTCATGAACTCTGCTTAGACATAAAGAATACTATCAACGTATAAACTCAGATATTTAGGTTGGCTCAGGGAAGTTTTCTTTAATTACTACCTGCTTCATTTTTTTGGTTTCTTTATGGGCACACCTATAATTCAAAGCTTGCATTTTCATTTTTTTGTTTGCCCTACTATATTTTTTTTTTCCTCATCTTTTTGTTCTCTAGATTTTGGGAGCGTTACCAAATTCACCCACATGGCTGTCTTAGTCCGGCTTCTCTAGAGGAGCAAAACCAGTCAAGCATATATAGATATGTAGAGAGAGAAATTTACTTCAAGGAAATGGCTCACACAATTGTGAGAAAATGGCTCACGCAATTGTGGGGGCTGGCAAGTCCCAAATCTGTGGATCAGACAACAGGCTGAAGACCTCTGCTGGCTCACTTGGTTGCAGGGGCTGACAAACCGAAAATCTGCAGGTCAGGCTACAGGCTGGAGGCTCACGGGTTTGCACTGGTTGGAGAATCCAAAATCTGGAGGTCAGATGATAGGTTTGGAGCCCTCTGTTTGCTTATGTCTCAAGAACTGGAGGTCAGATGACCAGAAGATTGCAGGGTCGAGAGGTAGCGAGCTTTGCCAGAACATCCATTTATGTAATGGAGGCAGGACACACTCCCAAGGAAACTCCCCTTCCAACTGATTGGCTGGTCACATCACATCACAAGATGGAAAATGATTACATAATGTCTGCCAAACCAGTGAGAATCACAGTCTAGTCAAGTTGTCACTGTACATTAACCATCACACTAAGTTTTCAGTACTGTCAGTTGTGCTCATTCACAGCACCTATGGGAGTTTCCTTTTATTCTTTGCATGTTTCAGGCTGCTCCCTTTTCATTTCTCCCCTTCATGTCAATTTGCTCTTTCTTTACAGCTAATAAAAATGAAAGGTCAATTATTTAAGAACTTCTCTAAGCTAAGTACTTCACAAGCATTATCTTGTTTAATTCTTTTTTTAATTTCATTTATTGTCTTTCTTTTTAATTTTTTTCATTGTTTTTGAGAACATACACAGCAAAATATACACCAATTCAATCGTTTCTACATGTACAATTCAGTGATGTTGATTACATTGAGTTGTGTGCAACCATTCTCACTCTCCTTTTCTGAGTTGTTCCTCCCCCATTAACATAAACTCACTGCTTCCTAAGGTTCCTATCTAATCTTTCAAATTGCTGTTGTCAATGAGATCCCATATAGATAGTTCTTAAAAGAGCATAATGCTCCAGGCAGACATTTTTTACTAGTTAAGCTAGACTATTGTTTAGTTTAAGAAGACTTCAGGAGGTATTTTTGGTTTACGGTTTAAAGACTATCTCAGGGCAATAGTTTCAGGGGTTCCTCCTACCCCTGTGGCTCCAGAAAGTCTGGAGTCCATGAGAATATGAAATTCTGTTCTGCAATTTCCCCCTTTTGATCAGGATTCTTCTATAGAATCTTTGATCAAAATGTTCAGCAATGATAGCTGGGTACCATCCACTTCCTCTGGTCTCATGGCAAAGGAGGCAGTTGTTCATGGAGGCAATTAGTCACATACTCCATATCTTCCTACTATTCCTGACTCTCCTTCTTCCTCTGTTGCTCTAGGCAAATAGAGACCAATTGTCATGCCTTGGATGGCCACTTGCAAACTTTTAAGATCCAGGTACTATGAAATGAACTAGGAAGTAGAACAGAAGCACTAAACATGTTATTAGGCCAATTAACTGGGATGTCCCATGAAACCATGATCCTAAACCTCCAAACCAAGGAATCAAATCCTGTGAGGTGTTTGGATGTACATAAGCAGTGTCAGCAGCCACTCTTTCTTATTGTTGTTGTAAATGTATCTATCACACATTTTGCGAGTTCAACCTTTTACAGGTGTACAACTTATTGACAGTAATTACAATAATCAGCTGTGCAACCCTACCCTTAATCATTCCATTAACTCCCCTTCCCCTCTCCCCCCCACCTCTGGTAATCACTATTCTTACAAACTCTGAGGTAGATATTATCTCATGGTACATATGAGGGAATTGAGACTTCAAATGACTGTCATTTGTCCAGAGCTGCACAGCTACTCAGTAATATAGCCAGGATTTAAAGCAGTCTTCATAACCCACCCTTTTAACAGCTATACCGGAGTTTCAGCTGCCTTTGGCCCTCCTCGCTGTTCAAAGCTATCCCTGGAGTGAGTGGCCTCAGAAGCAACTTGTGTCAATTCCAGTGCCTGCTGGACTAAGGCATGAGCATCTTCTGCTGATGGCTTCTGCTTCTGGCTTTGCTAGAGTCAGACAAACGTTCTTTGTGCAGGTGATGTACACTCTCCAGAATCTGCTGCAACCCTGGGCCCCTCCTCCCTCCACCCATTTGTAATGCTTTCTCTGAGGTGATTGTACATCTGAGGGTGCAAAGTCTCCCTCCCTTTAATCTGCAGCTATACTGAAAACTGTAGTCTCTAAATGCATGTGAAAGCAAGGAGCTGAAGGATACTGGGGGTGAGTGTAGATCTCAACTCTCGCTAACTCAGATGATTTCTGGGCTATCAGCGGGTAGCTAGCTGGTGGCTTGATTTTCCAGGTAGCGTAATTCCTGTGTCCTGAAGTTAGAGACAGTGACTGAGTTGAGGCTTTTTCCCACCTACTCTGCAGCTAGTTTGGTTCAATGAATTGACTGAATGACAATGGAAGCTAGTAGAAACTCCCAATGGATTTTGGCATGGAATTTCCTCTTTTAGTTCCCAGTGCTGTTGCAGTCTTTATTGGTATTTTTACATTTATAGGATAAATCAGGAACTGCTAGTATGTGGCTGTGTTTAACACACATTTAATGGGTATCTATCATGCAAGAGGTTTTGGATTAGTGTCACACTTGCTCTTAAAGAATATACATGGACTGTCTCCATCAAAACCTAGGGGTCACCAACACAGATCAAAATGAACCAAGGTTTCATTTTATGATATAACATTTCCTAGGCTCTTTCCTTGGGTGTAGGAAGTTCCCATGCTTCCTATGGATTAGTAGCCCTATGGATTAGCAAAATTGTCTTACAATTTTTTAAATGCCATTTAAAAAGAAACAATCCCTATGCTAAGAAATGTTAGTATTTTAAAGAGAGAACTAAGGATTTAGCTGAGAAGGAGGGTAAGTGAAAATGCATGGGATGCAGGAATGTTTTCCTGACAGTGAGATGTGGCTGAGGAGGCTGAGTGAGCTGAGGCAGACTGACCGACTAGGCTTTGCTGTTCTCTGCAGTTATCTCATGCAGAAAAAAAGCTCTATACACTGTGAATTGTGGAAACCTCTTGGCACACCTATAATTTCTTGCCTGAATAAAGCTGAGTTAAGAACACTGTAAGATGCTACTCAATTTTTTTTCCTCAGAGGCATCCAAGTTACTTTGTACTTCTATGGTCAAAGCTACTCTGGATGGAAGAAGCTAACAAATGCATCAAAAATATTAAATGAATAATTGGAAATCCCAAGCTGCACTAACAGTTCCTTCTCTGTGTTCCCAAGTCACCCCCTTATACTCTAAGATTATTTTTTACTTGGCTGTCCTCTCTACTCAACTGTAAGCTCAGGAACGTGTATTAACTTTGTATCCTCAAATTCCAGCAAAGTGCCTTGTCACACCTTCAGTACTCAATATTTGCTGAACAAGTGGATAAATAGAATAATCCCTTTTTAAAAGACTCTGTCAAATCAGGAGATAGGTGGCAACTGAGGTCAGGATGATTAGTATGGTCAGGAACTAGGAATCCCAGGCAAAAGGAGTCTGGAAAGCAGGCATCTCAGCTCCTACGGTAGACAGAGGTACTGCAAGCCAGGAAAACCAAAGGCCTGGAAATTAGAATTCAGGATGTTGTGATTTTAAATCAAAAAACTGCTTAAAAAAAAAAAAAAGTCAGCTAAGTTTGAATCTGTTAATCTTGTGACTTTTGGCAAGTCATTTCACCTTTTGGGGCTCAGGGTGGCTGATCCACTTGATCTCTAACACACTGTATGATTCTAAGTCACGGAGGTCAAAGCAAACAGGAACAGAAATCCAGAGGTTGAGGGGTAAAATCACACTTGTTTAATCTAAAGGTTATCCTCTGCTCCAGCAGAGACAGAGACTGGTGACTGGTATAACAGCCCCAAGGCGATAGGCACCAACCAAGCAGTGAACCAAGTTGGTTGAAAAGTCAGGAACAAAAGTAGAACTGGAATTACCAGGAGATTCCTGCAGAGTACATAATGCAACATAATTATATTATACACAAATTTAGCTAGTTTTTGCCTTCCAAATCAACAAACTGTATCAATGTATCCTGAAGTGTTAAGTCATCAGTTCACTCCAGCTCACTCTATGGAGATGACAAATGTGCAGACAGGTTAAACTGATTTGTACGGAATAATTATTTGTTTATCTTCTTGTATGGGGGTAGAATATTCGATTTTAAGATGTACATAAAATGCTGGCTCCTAGATTCATGATAAAGATTTTTTTAGTGCTTTTTTCAAACATGTTATTTCACAGGGCAGTTAGCCTGTAGAAGAAACAGTGAATGAACTTGTAAAACACCAATAGTAAAAACACTTCAGCCATGGCATATACAACCAAAAGCTAATGATACCTTTAATTATAAAAATGAGCAGTGGTTTCCGTTCACTACTAAAGTAGGATTTCAGGATCAAAACAGAAATTTAGAAATTCTCCAACAGACACAAATCAGGTCGAGAAAGAGAATTAACCACATAGTATAACAACAGGTAAGAGGTGCTGTTGATATGAAGAAAAAGAAAAACAAAAATAATAAAACAACCAAATCTCAATTTGTTGGACATAAATATCGATGGTAAGATTTCTAAGTAGTTATCCCTATATTTAATTAGATAAAAACTTCCAGCACATAACACTTTTAAGAAGTACCAATTATGGGCTGTGTAGAAATGATACGTAGACATTGACACAAGTTGTAGATTTTCTTTCCTGAGAGCCATGTCTTATGTTTTGATCTCTCGTATTATTCCTGAAAAATTATTTCAATTTATGATCTATTATTAACATTTCTTGCAATTATTTTCACTGTAGTACTATACAAACAAGATAAACAGTTTTTAATTTCCTACGGAATTTATTGAAGGTGATCATGTTATGAAAACAAAAGCAGATCATTCTTAATGTGTCAAATTTGTGAGTTTATTAATTTAAAAAAATATATGGCCCAATCACACAAACAGATAACTCTAAATCTACTTTGAAAAATCTAATCAATCAAGAAGTATCTATTTGGAAACTATGTACCTAGTATCATATTACAAGAAAGATAAGGTTGCTGTCCTCACAGAACAAACGGTCATTGGTAATCAATCATTAAAATGGCGAATGTTCTACTATTTTGGGAAAACTAACAAATTTCTCTGGACATTGTTTATTCTTGCCCTTTCAAAAGACTTGTAGATCCAGATAAGATTACTTTGGAAAAGGAGTCTTCTTTAGTCCAGAAAATCTTCAGAGTCCAACATAGTTCTGGGTTAACCAGAGATTAAAGAACCTTTTTAAGGATAAGTAGGCATGGAAATCCTTATTTTGAATTAGTATGTTTTAGTCAAAGGTAGGGAATTAATCATCAAATATCAGTTTAGAATTTCCAGAATGCACCTGAATGCCAACCAGCCACTAACATTTTATTTCCAACTACGATGACTCCTTGGCTGGAGGTAGAAGATATTAAAAAATATTGTGTGCTAAAAATTGTACTCCAGTACCCATGATCTCTAAAGAAAAATCTTGCTTTTTAATACAAGAAACTATTAAGTCAAACGCATACTAATTAAAACAAGATAGTGTTAAGTAAAACTGGGGGTGAGGAGAGCTCTAATCACATAGCAAAAACAGAAAGAATTAATCAGCATGTGAGAAGGATCATTTTTCCAGCAGTCCCGCTTCCATGAATGATATTTTCATGAGCTTGTGCAACTTTCTCCAATGGATACTGAGAACCTATTACAGGTTTCAACCAACCAGTTTCCATTCCAGCTTGAAGGGCTGCTGCAGACTGCTGAAATTCCTCCTAAGGGAAAGGAGAAGGATTTTTTTGAATGGACCATATGATTTAACTTTTAGAAGCATTAAAAAACTTCAGAATCTAAGAGTTATAGATAAGAGCATGTTACAAGAGTGTTACTTTTGTCAACTTGTAGATAAAACTGTAGAAAAAGTAGTTCTCCATAGGGTAACCATAAGTTCCAATTTGCCTGGGACAGTCTCAGTTTACAAAATACCCACTGCTCTGATGTGATGACTAATAGTACCTTCTTTCTTTCTCAAAAGTGATCTGACTTGGATAATAAATTGTAATGTCACCCTAGTATCTTCTAGGGACGAATCATCAACTCACTCCTTTAGTCAGATAATTAAGTTTAACATCTACTCAATAAACTTCCAGTATGCCTGACTTGGCAAACTGTATCAACTTTTAATTAACAAAATCAGAATCATTTCATTCCCTACCGTAGATGATGAAAAGAGAGAAACTCCAATTATACTAGACTCCTTTGTCATGGTGTCCCGCGGGTTTATCTCAATAGGGCCCCTGCTGCCGACAATCTATTATGAAAAACAATGTATCTCCTGTTAAAGATTACTACAAAATAATGTTAAATGTAAATCTATGGTTAATAATCTAAAATTACAGTAAAATTCAAATTGGTAAGAAAATGAAATACTTACTATTACTCGTCCTCCATGTGACAGAAGTTTCAAATCATTACTAAGATTTACATTAGATAGCATTTCAATAATCACGTTAATTCCTTTATCGCCAACAGATTTCTATATAAAAGAATGTGTAACAGGATAAGAAAACAAGCAAAAAACTTAAATAGTTACCATAGTCCCATATATTTCAGAAATATGTTTCAAAGTACATTTAAAATGGTATTTTTAAGGCTAATAATGCAAATTTTAAAATGATCTAATTATATAATGATGATATAATTCCAAGGTACCAGCCACAACATCTAACATGATAATGATTTGTACTAAAAAAAATTGCTGTAATAAAATAAAATTTGCCTGGAATTTCAGGTGTTTATAGACTCAATTTGACTTAAAAAACTTTATCCTTGGTTGAAAATTTTGGGTCCAAAATGCATTTTCACAGAGAAACCAACAACAAACCAAAACCCTAAAGCCCCCAAGGGACTCTAATTTTTATTAAAAAACAAAAGTAAAAAGAACAAACACTGGTAGTTTGGCGGTGCAGGGTCTTTTTTGCGCTTTCAGTTTTGTTCTAACTGGTGAACTATCCATTTGTCACTCTAGTTCTTTTCTTTTTTGCTCTCAGATGTTGCTTCCCAAGATCTAAAACTTGCTCTTAAAAAATTCTACATATCTCTCTCTCTATATATTTTTTTACCCATACAAAAATTTATACTTACATTGTTAGGTGACTCTAATTGCTCTCCCTATACTGTGACAGCACACTCCTCCTTTCCACCCGATTCCCCATGTCTATTCAACCAGCTCCTAACCCTCTCTGCCTTCTCATCTCACCTCCAGACAGAAGCTGCCTGTTTACTCTCTTGTATCTGCTTGAGCTAAGAGGCACACTCCTCACAAGTATCACTTTAAGTTCCACAGTCCAGTCCAATACCTGTCTGAACAATTGGCCGCGGAAATTGTTTAGTTCTGGGCTGATAGAGAATCCAGGGGCCGTGCTTTCCAGGGTTCCTCCAGTCTCAGTCAGACCATTAAGTCTGATCTTCTAACTAGAATTTGAGTTCTGCACCCCACCTTTCTCTTGCTCCATCTGGGACTCTCTGTTGTGTTCCCTGTAGGGGTGGTCACTGGTGGTGGCTGGACACCATCTAGTTCTTCTGGTCTCAGGCTGATGAAATCTCTGGTTTATGTGGCCCTTTCTGTCTCTTGGGCTAATACTTTCCTTGTGTCTT